TGGCCTGGATCAGGTGCACCTTAGCCTCTAGATGGATATCATTGATCCTCTGTACTCTTGGAGAGGTCACTGACAGTAGATTTTCCTAATACAGTTTGTCTTTTGATTTCCTGACTGCTGGTGCCAAGAGTGTTGTTCATTGTGGAAACCAGCTGGAATTGTTAACAATCTCAATCTCTTCTCCATATTTCATGGTGCTACCAATTTGTCCAGTGATGAGAATCTTTATTTTCATTTTTAATTTTTTTTATTTAATTTGTGTGTGTGTATGGTTGATTTGGATCCAACTGGTACAGGAGGAGCTTGTGCCTCCTTCTCCAGTGCAGCAACTGGTGGATTTGAACTGCGCCTTCAGGATTGCAGTGCATGATGAGCTTAAATCCTTATGCAGCAAACACTTCAAGTCCTCTTTGGTTTCAGCAAGTAAGGTTGTGTCATCTGCATAATGTAGGTTTTTGTGAGTCTTCCCCCAATTCTGATGCCACAATTCTCCTCATAAAGCCCAGCCTCCTGGATGATTCTTTACACATGAAAAGGTCTGGAGACAGGATGCATCCCTGAGGCAGTCCTTTCCTGATTTTTGAACCATGTAGTTAGTGTTTTCCTTGCTCTGTTCTGGTAATGGCTTCCTGGTTCAAGTATAGGTTTTGCATGAGCACAATCAAGTGTTCTGGGATTCCTGTTGCTTTCAAGGTTAGCCTCAGTTGTGATCCACAAAGTCAAATGCCTTTGCATAGTCAATGAAATACAGATAGACATTTCTCTGGTTCTCTCTGCCTTCAGCCAAGGTCTATCTGATTTTGGCTATGATGTCCCTAGTGCCATTAGGCTTGCACTTCTGGTAGTTCTCTGTTGATGTATTAGAGGTGCTCAATATATGTTGTTGAATTAGAAAGGAAATATATTTTAGAAAAAAATTTAAAGTGGCATCTTTGATATAAGATACTTCCATTTGTAGAAATGACATAGATCAACAATATAATTGACTATATTCTTATATTAAATCCTAAACATTTTCCATTAAAAAATCACTCTCTATGAAAGCTAAACTTACAGTTTAAATTTTGTAGAATTCAAATGTTTGGAATGAAGAAGCATCTTGATTTTGTTCTCAATATTGAGAAAAGGATGAAAGAAAACCCTTTTAGAATATTCATGGTTATCTTAGCATGGGTATGTCAATAAATCATCGCCATAGCTCTGTGATAATTGAAGGAGTGCGTGTTCATGTATGTGTGTACATGACTGTGTGCACCTCTAAGAATACAAAGAATTTACTAAATAGAAATAAACATATTTAAGGAACTTTCTGGCTGTTAGAGAAATACAATGAATGTCACAAAGCACCTAGATATCTTGGTAAGTGTGGGTAGAAGGCAAATGTATTTTGTTTTCTAAATATTTAAAGATGACCACTAAGTCCACTGGGATTTTAAATACAGTGGGAATACTGACAAGAACAAAGAAGGCTTCCAGAATGATATAGTGGATCATTCTGTCTAACCTAGAACGGGGAAGGGAAAGCTGGAGAGTGATATAATCAAGGTAGTGTGCGAGGATGATGCATTTGCCAGCAGCATGCAGGATAACTGGCTCCTGGGGAGGAATCCATGGAGGAAGCTGTTATAGCAGTCCAGATGTAAAGTGGAAAAGGCATAGCAATAGCAACTGGCAGAAATATAGAGGAAGGAATGGATAGAGAAGATATTTAAAAGAAAAAAAATCCTATGGTTTTTGGAATGTGATATCTACTTATATAATACTGAGACTGAGTGACTTGTCAACACCGTAGAGAAAGTGCCGTTGGAGAGGGGCAGCTGCACTATAGGGAACTCTGGGTTTTGTTTTGGATATGTGGACTTCAGTAACACAGGGACTCCCCAAGTGAAAATTCTCTGGCTCTAGCTCTGTCATTTTAGAACATTGTTGTTCTCCGAGGGATACACTAGGGATATCAGCTCTGGAGAAATTTAAGACAAGTGAAGAATAGGCAAAGTTTGAAAACACTGATGTCAGAGCACAGCCAGGATTGAGACATGCTATAGCATCCTGTCTGGATACTCAATCTCCCTCAGCTTGATGGCCCGCCAGGCTAAATGCCCTCATGCACACACTGTATTTTGGCCTAGACTTCTGCTTCTGCTCATTTGGAAGCACATGTCAACTTCAGGAATAAAGAATGTGGAGAAAATACTCATTTTACAGTGTTGATTATTGAAGCCTCCAAATTAGTGTGGTAGACACACAAATACAAATTTTGCAGAAGTACAAACACACATCTGATGGTAAATTTTGGTAAAGTTTAACCTATCTCTGACAAATGAACTCAAAAGTTACAGCCTCCATATAGCCTTCCTCACTCCCTCCAAAGAGTTTATCTCTTCACCAGGAATGTTCCCATGACCTATTGTTTAACTCTGGCTGTAGCTCTTGCCTCTCTGACTGTGTTGTCTTATCACTGAACTAGAGGCATGTAGAAGATGGAAGCCACTTGTTTTTCTTTGTATACAAATTCCTCTGGCATCACTGGGCTTGGAGGGGTTCTCATTTCACTGCTGGGAATGCCCAGAAGAAGACGTTTGAGCTTAGGGACAGGGTAGCATGCAGATGCTGGAGAGCCTGTGTACACATCACATGTCACACCACTGCTGAGGCAGTCACTGCACCATCCCAGGCAGTGCTCTCATTACATGCTGCTGGCCCGTATTTGTAATGTGTGACATTTTTTATGAAATACTGTCAAGAGTAATCCATCATACAGTAACCTTTGGATTATATGCTGAGACTGGTTTTAAACATAGACATAAATGAGCTCCAAGGATAATGCTGTTTTCTAAGAAGGATATGATCAAAGAGTTCTGGCTTGAAAATTGAAGCTCAACATCACGCTCTTTTAAGTTAAACAGAAGTGCCCCAAAAAGAGCTTTATTTCTGTCTAGCTGCAGTTGTACAGGATTTATTGTATAAAGATAATCAGGTGACTCTGAAATGTGACTGAATGCCCACTTCCTGTAATAAACACATCAGTATTTGAGAAAGAGGTGAAGACTTTCTAAAAGGTTGACAGCCCTTGGGACCTGCAAGTTTTATATCTCCAAAGGCATATTTTAAAAAGAAAAGGACATATGACAACTTCTGTGAATTTCAGATGCCAATTGTGGGCTCACAGTTAAAGATATTTTCTCTGGGTTTCCAGAAAACCTAGGATCTTACACATATTATAGAGTATAAATAAAAGAAAGCTTCTAAGTCTCATCATTTTGGTATAAATCCAGATAAGACTTCTTTGATGAGCTTAGCGTTTCCTGTGAAGGAAAAGCTTATAGGTGTGAGGAAGACTAAAATTAAGATTCTTTGTCTTCCTTAATTAGACTAGAGCTTACCATAGATCTTGCTGAAGCTGTGGGAAAATCCAAGCAATAATTCACATTGTCAGGTCAGCAGGAATGGGCAGGGGGGTCTGATATGATTGGAAGAAATGATCTATGTATGTACTGAACAGACACACCATCTTCCCTGGAAGTGTGCTCTCTGAAGATGCTGAGCACAAACAGCAATGAAAAGAAATTCCAGCAAGAGTCCTATACCAGCTCTACCAATGTCATTCCAGAGGAAATACATGAATCACATTAATACCAATCGAGGTGGGGCATTAATTAACAAGCCTTGTTAAACTGTGGAGTAATGACATTTAGTATCTAATGAATGTCTCATAATCACTTGATCATTAATATTTCATAGTATGAGAACACAAGGATTGCCATCCTGGGTTCATTCAACATGATTTCCTGTCTTGGTCAGTGAAGTCAAGGGCACCAAGTGGCAGGAGGGTACGGCATCTCCGTTGTAGAGTCCACACAACATAAACAATTAACTATTTCAGTACCTTGGCTGGGTCCTCATATTTTCTCACCTTAGAAAATGACTCTGCTTCTATTAGAATTAATACTTGTCATTGTTGAGTGCCTTTGAAGAGCAGAACCAAGTTGAGATGCTGACTTCAGTTTACCCCACTGCTTTGTTGTGGACCCTCCCAGTCCATGCACAAACTTTCAGAGAAGAAAATCATTACTTTGATTTATGACTGAGGGCTTGCTTTGTTCAAAGGCAATAATCACTTCACAGAACAGGTGCCACTGCAAAGGTTTATTGATCTCACGTCCTTCTTCTGGATATTCAAGGCCAGCCAACCTGGGGCCAGATGAAAGCTGTCAGAGAAACAGAAGTCCATCTTCCAGGAGCCTGAGAGGAAGGAGAATCTCTCTGGCCACAGTCCTACAGCTCCAGTGACACCGGAGGTGTCTCTTCTTTGAGAAGAGGAGTTGAAACAGAGAGAACACTGTTTCCCAGTGAGAGCGAGGGAAAGAGCAACGCTGTCAGAACTGCCCTAGGGTCTAAGTCCAAGAGGCTGCATCCTTCTGCAAGCAGGAGCCAAAGTCTCCGATTCTAGATCAGGATACCTCAGAGTTAAATACCAAGCAGCTGGGCCCTGGATGGGGGCACAAAATGGGACACTGATCAAAATCAATCTGGACAAATGGCAAAACTGAGTATGATATCGGTGGATGTCTTTTAAAGTCTTTGGTGGGAAGAGGACGAGAGACGAGGCGGTGTGTTGCTGGGTAGGTGGAGAGAAGCAGCCAGTTGAGGACTAGGGTATAAAAGGCACGCGAAGCCTGACAGCAGAGGGACAAAATAAGAGGGAAGCAAGAGACCGGGAAGTTAAAGTAAAGTACGAGGAAAGTGGGGACAGGGCCGGGGGGAGAGGCAGCAAGGAATGGGGAAGGGGAGGAGGTCCTAGAAAGCTAAAGGGGGTCGCTGAAGAGACTGGCGAATCTGGAAGTAAGGAGGGGCGCGGGGAGAGAGAGGGGTGGGGGCGCAGGCGGTGGGGACGGGGCACGGGGACTCGGGGGCGGCGGGCGGTGGGCGATCGCCCGCGGAGGGGCAGGCGCGGGGCGGGGAGGCCGTGGGAGGGAGGGAGGGGGCGGGCGCGCGGCGGAGCCAAGGCCAAGTGCATTGTGTCTGGCGGCGGCGCGCGAGCCCACCAGCGGCCCGGGAAGCCATGGAGCCGCGGGCGCTGGTCACGGCGCTCAGCCTCGGCCTCAGCCTCTGCTCGCTGGGGCTGCTCGTCACGGCCATCTTCACGGACCACTGGTACGAGACCGACCCCCGGCGCCACAAGGAGAGCTGCGAGCGCAGCCGAGCCGGCGCCGACCCCCCGGACCAGAAGAACCGCCTGATGCCGCTGTCGCACCTGCCGCTGCGGGACTCGCCCCCTCTGGGGCGCCGGCTGCTCCCCGGGGGCCCCGGGCGCGCCGACCCCGAGTCCTGGCGCTCGCTGCTGGGGCTCGGCGGGCTGGACGCCGAGTGCGGCCGGCCGCTCTTCGCCACCTATTCGGGCCTCTGGAGGAAGTGCTACTTCCTGGGCATCGACAGGGACATCGACACCCTCATCCTGAAAGGTGAGCGGCGGGGCGCGCCGTGGCGCTGGCGCGGGGAGCGCAGCCCGCGACTCCCCCGGGGCGCGCAGGTCCCGGGGGCCGCCTCCGCCGGCTGCCGCGCTGCGCTCCCGCACATTCTTCGGTCCTTGCCCGCCGCTGGCCCTAACCTTCTCCCTTTCTTTTTCCCTGTTTCTCTTTCCCCTACTCTCCGATCTCCCTTCTCCTAAGTCTGCGCTCTAGCCCCCTCCCTGCCGCCGTCTCCTTCTCCCCTGAATTTGCCTTTCTCTTTCCCGCTCCCTGTCCTCTTTGTATCCCTACCAGACTTGGAAGGCAAGTGAGTGTTTTCTTGACGCTGTTCCGCAGGAGGGTAACAGTCAAATAGATTCAATTTTCCCCAGTCAGCCTCCTTCCTTAGAGTTGTGTTTGCCTTTCGGAAATAACCCTTGGAAGGAAAGTGGTGCAAATCTCAGAAGAAGGTAACGGGTACTGCTAATGGGGAGCTAAGGGAGACCGAATGAACCGTTCTTAGATCATTGGAGGTGTGGTGTTTTTGTGGATTAAGACCGCCAAACCCCCAAACCGCTGTCAGGTCGATTCCCACTCCGTGGCGACCCGGTGCCTTCAAACCGTTGGTAGAGGGAGCCCAGTGCAGACAGGGCACCGGTGTTTTCGATCTTTCTAGGACTCTCCCCCAGCGCACCCCACCGGCCTCAGGGTCCAGGCACAATAAGGGGAGCTGTGCAGAGGGTCAGCCCCTGGCCTTCAAGAGCGCCCTGGATTTGCACTTGAGCTCCACAAGACCCTTCTCTCTTCTGGTTGTGAAACCCTGTGCGGTTGTTTTGTTTTGATTGTTATGTGGCGCAGAGTTGGCAGCATCAGTGTGCTCTTCGTAAATTCATGCCCCACCTGGCTCCCTTGCATGCAATCAGACAGAGCATTTTCTTTGTAATCTCATGCAGGTAAAAATATTCAGTATAACAAACCTTTGTGTCAGGGTTCCTGCTGTTTTCCAGAACTTAATCTCTCTCTCTCTCTCTCTCTCTCTCTCTCTCTCTCTCTCTCTCTCTCTTTCTCTCTTTCTCTCTCTGTGTGTCTATTTCCTCTAAGAGTTAAAGATAAATAAGGCTCTTTTTAAATAAGGCTCTTTTCCTTGGATTCATTATTGAGCATTTTTTTTTAAAGTCGAAAACCAGTGCATTTTAATCTTTAGTGAGTTGGGGAATCTCAGAAAAACAAAGGGCCCAATTTGTGTTAAATTCCATTTGGGATGAAATGAAACAGAAAGGAGGGGTTAATAGCGTGTTGGCCTTAAGAATCGTGTCACTTGGCATATTCGTCTGATCTCAAACATGCCACCTTCCTCCTTAGCTCAGCTGGGGACTGCTATCCAGAATCTGTCTGTTCATGGAAGGACTCCAGAGCTTTTTGGGGAAACTGGATACTGTAATCTTCCTTTGGGAACTACACCTTTTTCTTTCCTCTCCTAACTCTTCTCCAAATCTGATTTCACCTCATGAAGATGCTGCATAATTAATTCTGATAGTAGCATAGTACATGAACAAACTCTAAAAGCAGAATTTGGAGGCTCGGTTTTGGCATGCTCATTTAGGCAAGGCAATTTTGAAAGCTAAGCAGTGTAGTCTGTCTTTGGAAATGACAGAGCTGCATTTCCTGACACTCTTTCTGTGCCTGGAGTATTTGATTGCATGCAAATTGGATATAGAGGAATGTCTGAAATGAGCAGGCAACATCTAGTTCAGTAGCAGAAGAGGGACACCCCTCCACACACATGATCCAGCATGGACCCTATTTCTGGAGATACCATGCCTGACTGTGGTGCACATCTCCTGGCTGGTCCATAATGAAATAATCTCAGGTACAAGGGACTTTAGAGACTTTAGAGGCTATTTAGTTTGGTTTCTCATCCATTAATCAAACTCTTTTCTAGAATACTTCTGATTTTTCAGCACCACATTCCCATAAGGCAGAACTCATATAATCTTTTGTGTCATTTACTGCCACTGAAAACATACTAGAGGGTCAGCTATGGGTCAGTTCTGACTTGACAGCATACAACAACAACAACATATATAAGTTAAAGCTAGTTTTTTCTAGCCATGGATGTATATTTCAAATTTTATTTTAAAACAGTATCAGAGTTATAATATTAATGGTGTTTGGCTAATCCTTTGTATAGAAAATTGAAGCATTCTAAGATATATTGGTAGATGTGGGCCCACCACTATTTTGTCTGCTCGTTTTGCTGTGTGCTTTTCAACAGTGTCCAGACCTCATTTGCTGACCGTTTTCTTCAGGATCAGGAAGATAAAACTTAAAGGAATTTTCTAGTTTGAAAATAACAATAACAACAACAATAACAATTATAAGAATGCAAATTTTGGTTTTTTTGGAAGTTACTGAGCTGACACTATTTAGAAATGAGGAGTTTGGAGGTGAGGTGTGTTGTGCTGCTGTCAGCTGCTGTCTGGTTGACTCCTGTTTAAGGTTACCCCCTGCAGAGTAAAATGAGGTGCTTCCTGGCCTTGTGCCATCCTCAAATTTGGTTTAAGAGTGGGTCACAAAGTTTTTCCAAAAGTGGTTTGCCAGACCTTTCTTTTTAGTCCATCTTAGTGTTGAAGTTATGCTGAAATTTTTTCAGCATCACAGCAAACTGCAAGCCTTCACCTTCAGATGGGTGGTGGCTGTTTTTTCTGAGATACAAGGTGCGTCTGATACAGGCCATGGTCTTCACAATCACCTGTTATGCATCAGAGAGTTGGACAATGACCAAGGAGGATAGAAGGAGAATTGAGGCCTTGGAGTTGTGGTGCTGGAGAAGAGTATTGAGAATACCATGGACTGCTAGGAAAACAAACATATTTGTCCTGGAAAGGGTTAAACCAGGTGGCTCCTTGGAGGCAAGGATTCTGAGGCTCTGTCTAACATACTTTGGACATGTTGTGAGGAGAGACTGGTCCTTGTAGAGGGACATCATGCTTGGGAAGGTGGAGGGACAGCGCAGGAGAGGAAGGCCCTCTATGAGGTGGATTGATTCAGTGACTGGGATAATTGGGTTGGGAGTGTCAGAGACAGTGCGATTGGCACAGGACAGAGTGGAGTTTAGGGCTGTTGTACATAGGGTCGCTATGAGTCGCAGGCGACTCGACGGCACATAACAACAACAGCATGGATTAGGAGCTGAACCTGAGTCTCCTCCATGAAAGAAAAAATCTTAATATTGAACCACTAAAGGGATGTTGAAGAAGAATACTGAATATTTTATGGACTGGCAAAAAAATATACATATATGTCATGGAGAAGATGCAGCTAGAGTGGTCCTTGGAGGCAAGGATGGTAGTGCCGCATCTCACATAATTTGGGCATGTTGCTAGGAAAGGATATTCCTTGGAGAAGGACATTATGCTTGGAAATATAGAGAGATTGTGAAAGAGAGGCATACCTTCAACCAAGTAGATTATTACAGTGATTGTAGCAATGGACTCAAGTGTGTCAGAGATCAGGAAGACAGCACAGGGTAGGACAGGTTCAAATCTGTTGCCCATAGAGTCGCTATTAGTTGTACTCAACTTGATATCACCTACCTACAACAACAACAACACCTCTGCTGGTCCATTGTAAGATCATACTTTATTTTTCAAGAGATAGTAAAAACCCTGAATCTAGTATTTTCAACATTATTAGGAGTTCTAGTGGCCTAGTGGTAAGACGCAGTGCTGCAGTCCTGAAGGTATGCAGATCAAATTCACCAGCTGCTCCTGCTGGAGAAATAATGCTCAGTCTCCTTCCATGAGATTAAACTGCCTCTGAAAACCCACTGGAGGTCAGCTATGGGTCGGCTCCAACTCGACAGTGCCCAACAACACCAACCAGTCTTGGACTAGTTCATGATTCTTCTGGGTTTCAGTTTCATTATAATTTAAATCAGCACATTGGTCTCTACTAGCATTAAGAATTTATGTTTCTGTGAAATTTAAGAAAATAAAATACTACCAACAAATAGGAAATGAGGAAAAGTGAATTTAGATGATGTGAGGTGCAAAGAGGCCCATGAACACCTCAGATGATCAGTGGGTCATGAGGAAGGACATTGCTTCGGACTCCAGCAGTTCAAATCCACCGGTCATTCTGAGGAAGAAAGATGGGTAGTCTCCTTCTGTTAAGATGGATAGCCTTGAAAACCAGTTGAAGGATCACTAGGAATTGGAATTGAATCTATGGCAATGAATATCAGGAAGCGGGGGGGAAGAAACAACTTTTTTGTTCCTATAACACATTTGGTCAGCAGTATAGGGCTGGAATCCAGGTTGGAAGTCGTGTGGAGCAGCTGAATTCTACAGAGGTTTGTTTTCTGGTTCTGGTGAAGATTAGAGTGGAATATTTACTCACCTTTGGGTGTGAGTTGCTTTTATTCGGCCTCCTATTTAAAAACGCATTTGGTCAAACATTCTTCTGAGTGGTGTAGCACTGGTCTGTCCATTTGTTGTACAAAGGTGACTTGTGGTTGCTGTGATGCTAAACACTGTGATACTGATGTGTCAAATGTGATAATGGTTACCCATGGTAGACAGTGTTTGATGGAGCTCCTCAGTTAAAACAAGCTTGGAAGCAGGAGTGGCATCCACTTTTGAAACAGCTTGCCTCTGGAAACTCTATGAAATTGGAGAAATGATGAAAGTTATACAAGTGTTCAGGTCCTTCATTCATTGGGTCGCTATGAGTGGTCTACAACTCGATGGCACTTAACAACAACAACAACAACAGGTCTAGATAGCAAAGCCAAGAGCTACGTGAAATCTGCAAGGAGGAAAAGTAGAACTCATAATATATAAGACATTCTTACAATTGAAGTTATTTGTGTTTCCTTCTACTAGAGGCTGAGTAAGCAGAAGTGACAGAAACATACAGTGGGCAACTGATTTGCAAATTATATGTGTGATACACGTGTGATAGTTGTTGTTAGATGACATTGAGTTGAGTGCAAATCATAGAGACCCAAGCAC